ACGTGTCCCTCGATGACACGTCAGCCTGAAGTCAAATTATCCATTATGAAGAAAAAATTAATAATCATTGAACGCACTTGTTTTATGAAAGTCAACTCCTCACAACTGAATTTAGTTACCGTTCGACACCAGGAAATTGCATAATTCACTAATTGCAAATTTTATAACTGCTATGTAGACGTCACAGCATCCTATAGCTCCATCAATAGAGACTTCGTTTTTTCATCAATTAAAAATCGCCTCCCAAACACCGAATCCACGATATATCGAATGAATCGATCGAATAGAGGGAAAAAGTCCTACATGTCCGGTGACAATACGGAAACATTTCCAAATTTATCAAATGTAACATAAAGAGGTAATGAGTGACCCAGTTTAATCTTTTCCTAAACTATACCCTGAGCATTTACAAGCAGAGGTGTGGAAAAAAAGGGGTTTTGTTCATTTAAGTATTCCACACCATATCTGAAATGAATCTGTTAATAACCATCCTATTTTACATCCCGAAGCCAATATACTGATAATTAGGAGGCTATACTGGCAACATAGATATTCATAATTGTGAAAGAATGATTTCGAACAGAAAATTAACGGCATTTAGCAACTGTTCCAAAAATGGGGGTCACGATAAACCTTTCGAAAATAAAAACTATGATCTGGAATTGGAATGAAAGCAGTGACAGCACCTACCCTGAATACATCATCAAAATGAAAACATCCTCTATCAAGTGTTCTAAGAAATAAAACTCAAGATAAACCTTTCCAAAACAGAAACTATGATCTGGAATTGGAATGAAAGCAGTGATGGCACCTACCCTGAATCCATCATCAAAATGAAAACATCCTCTATCAAGTGTTCTAAGAAATAGGACTCAAGATAAACCTTTCCAAAACAGAAACAATGATCTGGAATTGGAATGAAAGCAGTGATGGCATCCCTGAAAATGAAAACATCATCAAAATGAAAACATCCTCTATCAAGATGTTCTAAAAACAACAAATAGGACTCCATTGGATAAACCTTTCCAAAACATCAAAATGAAACTATGATCTGGAATTGGAATGAAAACCTTTCCAAAACAGAAACTATGATCTGGAATTGGAATGAAAGCAGTGATTGTACATACCCTGAATCCATCGTAAAATCCAGGATATAGAATGACAAATACAAAAAAGCTGAAATATTTCGGTGTATAGATTAGTTATAACAAATAGAGTAGAGGAGAAAATGAAATTGAAACATAAAACATGTTTTTGTTAGTGAAGACCATACTTATTTGTAACTTGTGGACTGGCGCTACACAATCACAAATGAACAACTGTATGAAATAACAGAAACAACATTAATTGAAAACTTTGAAAAAGAACAACAACTAAAATTGATATTACATATAATTGGAGAGAAAATAATGACATTATCAAGGTGTTGACATTCCAAAAAAAAATTATTCAAATTAAATCCCAGAAAGATAACAGTTAATCTTAGACTTGAAGAGCTTAAAATTGTAGGAATCGGGAAAAAATTTTGCTGGGTGTCTATTTCACAGGATTGCAGTTCTTGGGAAGAAGTTCTTTGATTGGAACTTCCTCCTTACTAATGGAATAGGAAAGGAATGGGGATGAGTATATATATATATATATATATATATATATATATATATATATATATAGTCCCAGCTACAAAGGTCAGGACTGGTGAAGGCAAGGAGAATAGCTGGTCACTTTCCCTGAAAATAGCAATAAAGCAGCGAGAGGCTTTTCAACGTTTCGTTTCTTGGAAAGCGGACACATGGTGGTAAATAAAGACGATTGTTAATAAAAAGAAGAAGAAAAAGAGTCGAGCCGTGGAGAGAAAACTACGTATGTAAAGATTTCGAATTTTGTTTTAAAAACATTTTTTTTGTGTGTGTGTGTTTTGCTTTGGTTTTACAGAAGAGAAAGTAGCAGACATTTTTGATATCGCAGAGAAAAGTTTTGTTTTAGGGCGTTTTGAAAACGTGATTCTATTTGTTTATTTGTTTTTCTCCTGCAAGAGGAAATGTTTCCATTCTAGAAAGAAAAGGATTCTGGAGAAATAATGACTTCAACCAAGAATGAAACAATTGGCAATATGAAAGATAATCGGTGGATTCCGCCGTCAATATAAAACTGTCAACGGATTCAAACTCACAAACAAGCAGCGATTAAATGTCGAATGTGTTCAATTGAGCTGAAAACATACACAAGAACTCTCTCTCTCTGTATATATATATATATATATATATATATATATATATATATATATATATATATTTTATAATTCGTTTGCACAAGTTTACATAATAATCCTCCGAACATCTATTGCGGTTGGCTTAGGACAGTTGAATATAGTTATACGCCACATCGATTCCCGTGAAATGATGTTTTTAAAACTCCATTCTTCATTATTTCCAGTTGGGTCCACTTAAAAAAAAAGAGTTTAAAATGCATACAAAATAATAATGGATCTGCAAGAAAGGTTTTATTGATATACATTCTTTGTTCCGTCCTGGGTAAGATGTTAAACTACATCCAGCAGCAAGGCGTCTGATCAGGATGATTTGAAAAGCGTGGAACCACCTCTTAATTGCTGGTATTCCCATGTCCACTCTGACCCGGGGTGGTAGCACCCGTTATGCTCCCAGCTATGGCCAAATTGTTAACACCCAAACTTGTGTAAAAATAGGTTTTAATACCAGAAATGCTTTGTAATAAAAAAAAATTATTGCCAGCAATAATTTTTGAAGGACAAATTATTATCAGCAATACTTAAAAAAAAAAAAAAACATTACCAGCAATAAAAATTTTGGGTCTGTATATATTTCTGAGATGAGGTATTATGTACAGTATTTACATTAGTCGGACTATTGTCCTCATCTTTGTCATATATTTGTCACAACGTTTCGGCCGTTTATTACGCTCCGGCCTTCTTCAGGTGGTTGGAATTTCAGACTGAACCCTTTATTTCTCTCACTGGGGTAGACTGTTCTAGGTTCACGTGCCATGTTTGATGGATGTCAGTTATCAGTTATCTCCTGCTAATTGGTCCCTCTGGTGGATAAAGGCGTTGGTTAGATCCAGTGACAGACCCAAAGAAGGTGAGTTCAATTCCTGGTTAAGGCAGTGGAGAACTTTCAGAGGGAACAATTAACAGGAGATAACTGATAACTGACATCCATCAAACATGGCACGTGGAACTAGAACAGTCTACCCCAGTGAGCGAAATAAAGGGTTCAGTTCGAAATTCCAACCACCTGAAGAAGGCCGGAGCGTACAACGGCCGAAACGTTGTGACAAATATGGCGACAAAGATGAGGACAATAGTCCGACTAATGTAAATACTGTAAATAAAAATTTTGTCGGCATTAAATACCCCATTGAAGTTGATATGTCGTAAAACAAAAGAAAACATTCTTTGTTGTCCCGATCAATAAAAAAGAAAAAGAAAAGCAAGCAAAAAGTTTATTTCACCATTTTTTATTGTTTTGCTACAAGTTTTACGTCATCACGATAAACTATATCCGTTAGTAAGGAGTCACGTCTTAATTACTGTTGTTTCCAGGTCCACTCTGACCCTGGCTCGTAGCACCTGTCAGGGTTCCAGCTATGGAAAAATAGTTAACCCCCTGGTTAACTTTGGTCAAAACACTATGAAATTTTAAAAATGGATTTTTATAGTAAAAATACCAGCAATATATTTTGGAAAAAAAACGTTACCGGTAATAGATTTGACTATCGACAAAAACCCTCTTTATAAAAATACGTCAAGAAAACCTGATCTACAAACTGATTTCTTACAAAGAATATATATTTTGTTTATACAAATCTGTCCTAAAAAACAAACAAACCTTGTTGGCATTAAATAACCCATTGAGATTGATATGCCGTAAAATAAAATGAATCTAAATCTTTTACGTCATCGCACTATTATTATTGTTTTTATTACTACACCTTGGGTCGATATTACTATTATTATTAACATTTTGTTATTACTATTATTAATTACACTCAGTATTATTATTACTATTGTTTTCATTTCTATATATTGTGTTGATTCATTCTTCAATATTAGACAACATTAATATTTCTATTGCTTTTTTAGCCCCACGTCGATCCACTATTCATTCACTCTTCTTCTTCTTCTTCTTCTTCTTCTTCTTCTTCTTATTATTATTATTATTATTATTATTATTATTATTATTTCCTTTGATTTCTGGTGTGTACTCATTTCTTTCCGGGTCCCGGCCTGAGACCTAAGGTCAGAAATGGCATCATGGCATTTTCCATTGAGCAATTAAAAAAAGAGAGAAAAAACACATATTTTACATATGTAAGGTGTGGGCCTTAACCGTTAGAACAATTTTTTTTTGTATTTCTTTAAGGCATGGGCTACCAGGAATCCCTTCATCGAGTCTATAAATGTAATGTCTTCTTAATTCTTTTATTGTTCTCTTTCCATGATAATATTTTTATCATTTGCCTATTCTTTCACACTTACGTCTTAGTGGCTTTATTGTCTTGCCTGGGGGTGAAATGATTAAAAAAAAAAAAAAAAAAATACATTTATCTATGTGTACCAGGCTGACCAATCTGCCTCCTCATATTTTCTTCCTCTCGGAGATTTCAGGTCTTAGTAGCAGTAGTAATAGTTGTCAGGTTAACATTATCCCTATGTTCTTCGATTGAATGGTTAGCGTGTGGGTGTTGTCTTCAAAACAGCTTATTGATTGGACCGTCATTGTTTCATACACTCAAACGTGCCCGTTTGACCTCCTTCATGTCAGAGCTAGAGATTTGCTTTCTTTTTTTCAGATAAAAAGAAAATATTAAACAAAAAAAAATGTACTAACAAATGTCAGAACGTTGGATCACCGACTTCGAAATGATTCTGATGCCAGGCGGTATTTTCGGCAACTCCAGGGGGAATAGACGCCCTCGATTGACTTGGAAGGAAGCCATTTTGCTTTCTGTTCATTGTTGTTTTAACGAAGAACAATGGCGCTGGTTATATCGTGTATATTTACAGAAATGACAAATGACGAAGTTTGGGAAAATGGTAAGAGAAGAAAGATGGACGAAAAAAAGAGGGAGGAATGAAAGAGAAAAAATCGGCGCAAGTAAAAAGAAGAAAACTAATTGGAAGAAGAAAATGAGGAAAGAAAATGTCGGATAGATGTTTTATACAATGACATAAAAATGGGAGAAAATAAAAAAGTCAGAAGGTACGAAATGAACAGGATAGATAGATAGATAGATAGATAGATAGATATAGAGATACATGAACAGACATAGATAGATAGATAGACAGATAGATAGATAGATAGATAGATAGATAGATAGATAGATGAACAGACATAGATACCTAGCTAGCTAGCTAGATAGACATAGATTTAAATTACTGTTTTGAACGGTGAAATGTTACTCATCGTTCTTTTACATACATACATATATATATATATATATATATATATATATATATATATATATATATATATATGTATATATATATATATATATATATATATATATATATATATATATATATATATATATATATATATATAGCAGCATGGCTCGTGTTGCCCGTGCTTGATTCAAAAATCGTACGACTCATACAACAATCGCTATCACTTGACTTAAAAATTTTTTGCCCTTCCTTGCCTTTAATGGAGTGCTCTTTTCCGTGCTGATGTTGCTACATGCCTTACTTCTTGCCTATCTGACACTGCGAAATTTTTCTAAGCTCTATACTAAACATTAAATCTGTTACGAAAAAAAGAACTAAACAAAATGAACATAAAACGATCAGCTTTAAAAAAGGACTCGTAACTGGAAAAACCGAATGAAAAAAGAATGTTAACAAAATCTTTTCACACCCAACCCAGTTCTGCGGAATCAGAATCAACGTTGAGTTTAAGCAAGCGAATGAGCCAATTGGAGTAAAGCGCCATGAAGATTTAAATTTTTGCCACTTGTGACGAATGCAGCTATCGATTTTTTTTTGCATGCTAGCATGCTAGTTAACATTCGTGTCAGTCAGCTGTTGGCTCTCACTGCAAAATGTCCGTGAACTACATGAAAACTGCCGTAGAAGCATGAAAAAATCGATTATTTCCACTATCCATGTGAGTTGGGAAAATGCAAAGTCGGTCTTGGCCTTCCCGCTATCTTGGAGCATGTGCATGTACATTTTGGTGCAAATCCGTCGAAAATTGCGGCCGTGCATTCGTTACACACGCACACACACACACACATACATATCCTGCTTTCATTGATAGAGATGGACGAAGATAGATAGATAGATAGATAGACAGATAGACAGATAGATGAATAGATTAATAGATGAACATAGATAGATAGATAGATAGATAGATAGAAGACGAGGCATAGACAGATAGATGAATATAGATAGATAAAGAGACAGAGAGATAGTTGAAGACAGATAGATAGATTAATAGACATAGAAATAATAATAATAATAATAATAATAGCTGGCTACTCGTATTCGAGAATACCCGTCTACTAGAGCGGTTAGCCAATCCATGTTGAAGACGCTTGCTCAGGCGTATTTGTGAATATTCAACACCCACAGAGCCCACCCGTGGTTTATACTGCAACTATGCTGAACAGATCTTAGTTACAGTTTTCGGGAGAGAGCGTGTTATCTAGCGTCATCAACAATTTAAACAAGGGCAACACGCTCATGCCCTCGACCATGATGACGTGTGACTTCGTGCTAGCAGAGCTATCGACGGCCCTCAAGGGTTCCGTCTACCAAATTTCAATCACAAGGCTTGGGTCAACCTGGGGTAAGGCACTTTCCAAAGGTGCCGCACTAGTTAATCAGACTTGAGTTTTCAAATTAATCTTTTAGTTCTGTAACAATTGGCGGTATTGTGTAAAACTCCCTCTAGCGCAGTGGAATTTTCTTCATCTCCTATACTAAATGTGTTATAACTAATTCATACACTGAGGTATTTGAAGGGTTTGGTATTTACTAATTTCACATAGGGAATTTTTATGAGGGATTCAGGGTTGACGCCATCACTGCTTACTTGCGAAAGAGAAATAAGTTATGAAAGAGAAAAAAGAAGAAGAAAAGAATGGAGGATCAAAAGAAAATAGAAAGAAAACGAATTGGTTTTGAGAAACAAAGGGAAACAAAGGGGTAAATCCGGAGGGAAGGCACAAAAGGAAAGAAGGAAGGAAATAAGATATGAAAGAGAAAAGGAGGAAGAGAGAGGAAAGAAAAACATTTAAAAGACAAAGAAAGAAAAAAGAAAGAAAGAAATACGTTCTGAAAAAAAAAGGAAAACTAAGAGAAAGAAAGAAAGAACATAGGAAAGAAAAGCTAAAGAAGTTATGAGGAGAGGAAAGAAAAAGAAAGAAAAAGGAAGAAAAGAGAGAGAGAGAGAAGGTGCGAAAGAAAGGTGGAAACTAAGAAAAAGTAGAAGATAATAATAATAATAATAATAATAATAATAATAATAATAATAATAACACACAGTCCCGGTTACGGTGATAGGATCTGTTACAGTTTTATGGGACTACACAATACACACAGACAGAACAATGAAAACTAACCGCCCAGACATTGTTATTAGAGACCGCAAACCAAAAAAAAATGTGCCTCCTTATTGATATGGCAGTCCCTGCAGACTGCAATGTATCTCTGAAGCTCTTCAAAAAGCTATCAAAATACAAGGACCTTGAAATCAAAATCTCAAAAATGTGGCACATTGGGAACATCAACAATCCCTGTAGTAGTTGGAGCGCTCGGATTGGTTGGAAAATATTCCAATAGACTGATTGAATGAATTCTTGGTAGCCCATGCCTTAAAAAATTGTTCTCATGAATACAGCCCACACCTACGAAGGACTTTATCTATGTAAAATATGTGTGAGTGTTTTTTTTTTTTTTCAAAATTGCACTGGGGAAAATGTTATGATGTCATTTCAGACCTTAGGTCTCTGGTTGGGACCCGGAAAGAAATGTGTGCAGACCAGAAATCAAAGGAATAATAATAATAATAATAATAATAATAATAATAAAAGCAAAATTAAATGCAAAATAACAAATGCAAAAATGATGTCAAGATAAGAAGCCTGGACAACACTTTACTGGTACCAAACAAGCTAATGTAGACAGACCCTTGCCCCATCAGTGGTTACGTAGTGCAGGGTTAAAAGCTGAAAGCAAAGGTTTTAATCTTGCTGCACAGGACCAATCCTTACTAACTAGAAATTACCAAGCAGACATACTGAAAAATTGTGTTGTCCCCAAATGCAGACTCTGTGCTAAATGTCCAGAAACAATTGACCATCTTGTATCAGGTTGCACAGTGTTAGCATATAAATATAAAACCCGACATGATAGTGTGGGCCAATATCTGCAGTGGAAAATTTGAATCTTCTACGGAAATAAAACTGCAAGAAATTGGTATTAACATCACTCAAACTCGGTTACAGAGATAGGACCTGTAACAATTTTATAGGATTTTACAATATATACAGATTGAACAATCAATGCTAATCGCACAGACATCGTGATCAAAGACCACAAGAACAGAATATGCTTTCTTATTAACATGGCAGTCCCTGTAGATTGTAATGTATCTTTAAAGATCTTCAAAGAATCAATCAAAATAGAAGATTCATAAAGTGGAAATCTAAAAAATGTGGCACATGAGAACAACAATAATTTCAGTTGTAGGTAAAGTCCACGGACTCATTGGAAACAGTTCCGATAGACTTTTTGATGGAATTTCTGGTAACACATACCTTAAAGAAATACAAACATATTGTACTCACAAGTACAGCTCACACATTGCGAAGTGCTTTATCTATGTAAAAATGTTTGTGATCTTAAGGTGTTTTTTTTGTTTTGTTTTTTACAAAGTTAGAAATGTCTTGATGCCATTTATGAACTTAGGTCTCTTGTTGGGACCCGGAAGCAAATGAGTATGCAACATAAATGAAAGAAAATAATAATAATAATAATAATAATTTAAGAGAAACCTGCAAGACAAAGTAACTTCAGCCTACGATTATCACTACTGTGATAGATTGGCATTGGGTATCATATAGAAAAGTAACGTAAAATTCCTGGACACATCAGAATCTCAGAGCAACAAAAGATTACTTTGTGAAGAACTGCAAATATCTGCAAAATCTCACCAACTAAACGAAACTTCTCAAATATGCATAGATAACTATAGTTTCTTTTTAGTATTAGTAATTAGGAACTTAAAATCACTTTCCTGCAAGCTGGCACTACAGATGATAATAATGTTGTGGTTTCCTCCCTCTAATGACTCTATTGTGGACTCTTCCACTTATTATAAAATTTGTAGGAAAGTAAGCTTCGGGGGAACAGTGATATAGACCGTTCATTTCTGCCTCGGCAAAGTTTCGTCCGGGGAGGTAGACAGTCCCTGAGCCCATTTAGGCGGGTTCAAATGGAATATTTTTGGCTGAGCCTACGGCCTCGGAGAAACCCACGTTAAACTCGGCCTTGTGCCACATACATTCCCTGTGGGGGTAGGGACTGTTAAATATAACAGTGATATAGACCGTTCATTACTGTCGAACTCTCCGCCTCGAATGGAGAGGAACCAGAACGAGGCTTTGCCGAAGGGTAAAGTTTCGTCCGGGGAGGTAGACAGGCCCTGAAGGAAATATTTTTGGATGAGTCTACGGGCTCGGAGAACCCACAATAAACCGGCTTTGTGCCACATACGACCTACGTAGGGGGGGCGTTAAATATAATGGTGATATAGACCGCTCATGGCTGCCAAACTCTCTGCCTCGGGAGAGAGGAACCCGGACAAAGCTTTGCCGAGGGTAAAGTTTCGTGCGGGGAGGTAGACAGGCCCTGAATGCGTTTATACGGGTTCGAAGAGAATATATTTGGCCGAGCCTACGGGCTAGGAGAAACCCATGATAAACTCAGCCTTGTGCCACATAGGACCCACGTGGAGGGGGGGCGTTAAATATAACAGTCATATAGACTGAACGTTGACAACCGACACACATTCCCAAGTCGTGTAACACTCTTCTGATGTATTTACTGTTCCATATACGATTTATCTCCAACCTCTTGTTTTGTTAGTTCTTAACCATTTACTTGATCACAAGTAATAACGCTAAGTTAAAGACAAAAAGGAAACTTGAAAGTATTAACATCTTAGCAATTACTGTTATTCTATACACTTTCAATGTTATAAACTGGGATGTAGAAGAGATACAAAGAATAGCTAGAAAGCTCAAAAACTCATTACCACGTTTAATATGCACAACTCCATGACAGATAGAGTTAATGGAGTGATCCAGCTCGAATTTACGTCTCGGTCTACAACCCTAGGTTTTGAAAAAGATCTTAGCAAATGATTAGATGATGACATTTGTTCACCGGAATAAACTCAACAAAAGGTGACTTTGAATTATTAACAAAAGCTAGAAATTTAATCAAGTTCTACACCCATAGAAACAAAATGAAATACGAGGTGAAACACCAAAGACTGAAGATAAAATCACCAAACAAAAATGTAACAAATAATGGTTTAACTTGAAAACCAAATTGGAATAAAATCCTTTTCATGGTCGATACTATTGTGAGCGTAAGATCAGCATTTTGAAACCAAAAGTAGTTGGATTCATTCACGACGGTCAAGAGCAAAACATCCACAAGATCCTGACAGGAACATATTTCGATGAATAGCACGGATCCAAAACGTCGTTTTTGTAAAAAAAAAAAAAAAACACACTTAGGAAACTGCCTGTCAGTCATGTATCGAAAGATACATGATCTCCTATGCGTCTATCACTGACTGAACCATTATCAGTACCAGAATTCGTTTCGGATTCCCGCTCGATGCAGTTGGATGCTAACACGAAAAAGAAAGAACATAATTGAATCTATACAAAGGGACAAAATATTTGAAGAAGATACTTAGGAAACTCCCTCTAATGTTTGGTTGCTCTCAGCTACCCTGAATTAATTTAAATACTGCATGTTAACATATGATGATATGAGAACATTTTGACGATTCACACGCAAAAAGGAGGTAGGAACACAAGGTCCGAACAGTGCTGGAAAGGGAAAAAGTTACGGTGTTCTCGAAATTTACTGTGCGTGCAGACCGCAATCTTCAAGCCAACAGAGAAATAATAAATGATTTCAACAAACATAAGCGCTATTATTATGGCCATCGCATTTGATAATAAAATCACAGAAAAATTTTTTAGAAACTTTCAAAATATAAGGATATAGAAATTGCAATAATGAGGAATTTAAATATAGTTAGTATGGAGTATTGCTGCCATATATGGTCTGGAGCCCCATCTGTTTGACTCGGGGTTCTTGATAGGCTCCAGAGACGGATATGCAATATAATTGGCCCTGATCTGGCATCTCGTCTACAGTCGCTCTCTCACAGACGCGCCATCGCCTCTCTCTGTCT